AGCCAGCCTCTTCAACAAATGGTGCTGGCAGAATTGGCTATACACATGTAGAAAACCAAAGTTAGACACTTATATATCACCCTGCATCAGAATCTACTCCAAATGGATCAAAGACCTTGAGGTAATAGCAGATACTATTATAGGAAGGGATAGGGGATAAGCTAGAGCTCTTTGGTACAGGCCAAAACTTCCTAAATAAAGATCCAGAAACAAATAAAAAAAAAAAGGCTGTATAAATAGGATAGCATTAAACAGCAGAGCTTCTGCATGGCAAAGGAGGTAGCTAGCTAGATAAATAGAAAGCCCACAGATTGAGAGAAAATCTTCACTAACTACACAACAGACAAGGACCTTATATCGAAATTATACATAGTCATAGCTATGGTAAATAATGCTGCAATAAACATAGCTGTGCTGGTAGCTTAAATATGGTCTTGTTTGTGATCATTTGGGCAAATGCCCAAAAGTGGGATTGCTGGGTCATAAGGGAGCTCTATGTGGAGTCTTTTGAGGAACCTCCATACTACTTTCCAAAGTGGTTGAACAAGTTTACACTCCTACCAACAATGCAATAGGGTTCCCTTCTGTCCACATTCCCTCCAGCATCTGTTGTTATTAGAGTTCTTGATTGTAGCTGTTCTAACTGGAGTGAGGTGGAATCTCAATGCTGTTTTGATTTGCATTTCTTTTATGGCTAGAGAGGTTGAGCATTTCTTCATATGTCTATTGGCCATTCTTATGTCCTCTTCAGAGAAGTTTTTCTTTAAGTCTTTAGCCCACTTATTTATTGGGCAGTTGTTTCTTTGAGGATTTGTTGTTGGGGGATTTAATTTTTTGAGTTCCAACTATATTTTAGATATGAGACCCTTGTCTATTATATAGCTAGTGAAGATCTTCTCCCAATCTATGATCTGTCTATTGATCTTGCTAGCAATGTCCTTTGCAATTTCATGCAATCCCATTTGTCCAACCTTTCTTTGATTTGTTGTGATTCTGGGTCTCTATTAAGAAATTTTCAGCCTGTACCAAGGAGACCTAGGGTTTCTCTTATTCCTTCCTGTAATGTTTTCAGGGTGTCTGCTTTGACTCCAAGGTCTTTGATCCATTTGGAGTTGACTCTGGTGTAGGGTGATATATAAGGATCTAGCTTTAGTTTTCTACAAGTGATTAACCAATTTTTCCAGGACCATTTACTGAAGAGGCTGTCTTTCTTCCATTCTATTTTTTAGCTCCCTTATCGAAGATTAGGTGACTATATATCTGTGGGTTCATTTCTGGGTTTTCAATTCTATTCCATTGGTCCTGATGTGTGTTCTTGTGCCAGTACCTAGCTGTTTTGATTACTATGACTTTGTAGTAGAGTTTGAAATTTAGTATTGATATTCCTCCAGCACTGTTGTTTCTTTTAGGGATCATTTTTGCTATTTGGGGTCTTTTATTGTTCCTTATGAACTTTTAGATTGCCTTTTCTATTTCCTTGAAGAATGAGGTTGGAATATTGATAGGTTTTGCATTGAAATTGTAGATTGCTTTGGGAAGTATTGTCATTTTCATGATGTTGATCCTTCCAATCCAGATGCCCCTCAGCAGATGAGTGGATCAAGAAAATATATATATTTATATGCAATGGAATTCTCTGCCTCCATCAGAAAGAATGACATGGCCCCATTTGTTAGGAAATGGAAAGACTTGGAAAAAATGGTATTAAATGAAGTAAGCCAGGCCTAAAGAAACATAGGTCCCATGATTTCCCTTAATTGCAATAACTAGTATATGTCTGGGACAAACCGAAAAGCAGATGTTAAGCCACATGAACCCCAAGATAAGGACACAAGGGGATTTTTCTTCCTTGCTATTGTTTCTAACTTATTTATAAGATACCATGTGATTTTTTTTGTTGCTTTGTAAGTCCCTCCCCCACTGTATAACCCCTGTTTTCACTGTATTTGATATTGGTATAATTTGGGGAGGGGAAGGGAAGAACAATTTGTTTAAATAGGGATACAGATTGACCATTGCAACAATGAGATGTACAAGACACTATGTTGAAAAACAAACTTTACAATTTAGGTGGAGGTGGATGTAGCTGAGGAGGTGGGAGGGAAGGGATGGTAGGGGAAAAACAAAGGAGGAGGCAACAATGCTGGATAAGAAATGTACTCATTACCTTTCTCATGTACCTATAACCCCTCTGTACAGTATTTTCACAATAAAAACTTAATTAAAAAAAGAAAATGTGCATAAAGTTAAAAAAATTAACCCCCCCCCCCAAATCCTCAAAGAAACAACCACTGCATTAGTAAGTGGCCTAAAGAATTAAAAAGAGACTTCTCTGGAGAGAAAATAAGAACAGCCAAGGACACATGAGGAAATGTTCAAAACATCTGGCCATAAAATAAATGTAAATTAAAACTACATTGGGATTCACCTCATCCCAGTTAGAATAACTATTATCAAGAAAACAAATAATGGTAGGTACTGGTGGGAGTTTGTCCAAATGGCAAGCTACTACACTGTTCGAGGGAATGTAAGCTGGCTCAACCATGCAGGAAAAGCAGTATGGAGGTTCCTCAAAAGACTAAACATACAACTTCCCTATGATCTAGCAATACCACTCCTGGTCATTTACCCAAATGACCCCAAACAAGGTCACACTAAAGCTACCAGCACAACTATGTTCATTGCAGCATTATTTATCATAGCAAGATATGGTACCAACCTAGATGACTCTCAGTAGGTAAATAGATCAAGAGAATGTGGTATATATCAACAATGGAATTCTGTGCTTCCATTAGAAAGAATGACATGGCCCCATTCGGAAATGGAAATGGAAAAGACTTGGAAAAACTATATTAAGCAAATAAGACAGACTAAAGAAACATAGGCTCCATGGTTTCCCTCATTTGTAACAATTAGTATATGTCTAGGATAGCCATAGCAGAGGATCACAGTATCTCAATAGGTATGTTCATACGACCATATAAAATGATGCTAATCAAAATGAACTCCAAGATATAGAACATGAGGATTTTTTTGTTGTTGATGTTGTTGTTTTTAATATACCATATTAAGTTCTTTCTTTATTCCCCTTTTTTCCTTTGGTTTATCCCCTGTAGTCACTGTGTTTGATTCTGATGCCCTGTGTCTTGTACATACAACTATCTGATTTGGGTTAGGGAAGGGGAATAATAAAATGGAGAAACAAAGGACAAATGGTGAACAAATGCAACAGTAATACCCACAAGAAGCTAGATTGGAAATGAACTGTATAACTTGGGGTGAGGATGGAGGGAAGGGAGAGTTGGGGGAAAGGAAAACTGGTAGAAAAATGAGGGTGAGGGTAAAATGTTTGACAAGAAATGTACTCATTACCTTACTTATATTTAACTGTAACCCCTTTGTACATCACCTTTACAACAAAATAACATTAAATTTTAAAAATAGAATATCCTAGACATATTCTAGTTATTACAAATGAGGCTTCCTTGGATTTTAAATTGAGATAATTCATGCCTACTCTCATGCTTCTCTGTGTTTCAAAGGCTCAAGTCTTCCTTGTCTTTATTATTCTAAGAGGAAGGCCTCCTTCCTCCCCTCCTTTGCTGAAAGGGATAATCAGACAGAACTGCACCAGTCTCTTCTCCCTCCAGCTCCACACTCGTACCACTGAAGTGTATATAAATGACCTAGATGTAGTTAAATAATGTTGTGAAATATAGTTTATGACAGAAATGTCAGTTTTGTGAAAAATGTGGATTGTTCCAGATGCTTCTGGTCTTGGCAGCCCAATCCAATCGCTGTCTCAACAGCTGCAAGCCCTTTGTGAGATCCCATGCCTCCTCCCACATGTAATCTCTTATCAGTCAGAGCCCAATTGGTACCTGCTGCAGCTACTAAACTTTGGGCAAATAAAATAGCAGGGGTGAGTCATGAACAGCCTAGTAAAAATACCTGTCCTTGGTCTCTAAACTATATTATAATTGCATTCTTATATGCCTTGAGAAAAGGGAGTCAATGATTTGGAAGATAATTTGTTTTAAATTGGGGAACCCAAGGACATTGCTGAAAGAAAAGATCTCATTTATTAAAGTGCTGCTGCTGCAGATTGTGTCATGCAAAATCAGATCACATATATCTCACTTGATCCTCACGTACTTGTGAGCATTGGAAACGATTTTGTATTTTAGATTAGGAAACAAAGATTCAGAGAGGTCAACTAAGTCATTCAAATACACATATCCAATGAACAGAAGACTAGGTTTGTTTATAGGCATGGTTGCCTCTCAAATGTGCTCTTACTGACATAAAGTCTGAGAGACATGACATGAACAGATCTTTCATGTCCAAATAAATGCTGAAAATATTCACTGATGGAAATATTCATGATGAAATTTGTTTATTCACAAGTCTGACATTCACATAATCTGTATCTTGAAGATTTACAAGTCCACAAATTCAAAATTTCCTATACCATTGTCATGCAGCTATATTAAAGTCAACTTGCTAGGAAGTCAGTAAGGCCCAGTCATTGGTTACATAATGGGACTCTTCAAGCTATCCCAAAAGATTCAAATCCAATCTTTGAAATAGGTAAAAATTATTACATCATAAATGCTGAGGGTTAAAAGTAAGAGAATATCAAATACAATAGCCTGTTGGATAAATCATAATTGATTAGAACCTCTCTGAGAACCAATCTTAAATTAGTATAGCAAGGTGGGAAGAAAGACTTTGGAGCTTGACTTGCCAGAGACAAATCCATAGTTCTACTACTAGTAAAACTTTGATGTAGCAAAATTGATTCATGAAATCAAGGGAATCAAGTATTTACTCAAGTGTTAACCATAATCACAATGCAAACTTTCTTGGTAAGAGCTCATTTATTTCTGGATCGATTTCTTTACCTTTGTCTAATTACTCGCTCAGTTTACCAGAATTAGTAAGCTGGAAACTTCAATCACTTTCAAATTTCAAATATGTATCCAGAAAAGTTGTGTCTCATGCTCACATGGGTGACATATATACTAAAATTGGAGAAAAATAGAGAAGCTTAGCATGGCCTCTGTGCAAAGACAACATGCAAATTTATGGAGTGATCACTATTTTTATGCATTAAATGTGTTTGTTATTTTATTAGTGAATATTAACTGTGTAAAATGGATTTCATTGTGATAGTTTCACGCATATATTGGATGTTTTAATCATATTTACTCCATTACCCTTTTTATCCACCTCTCCCCTCTTTTTTATCCACAATATTATTTATCTAGTTTCCACACATGAGAGTAAACATGCAATGCTTGTCTAAGTCTGGCTTATTTTACTTAACATGACAATCTCCAATCACATCCATTCAATTTTTAAGAAAGACCGTGCTTCCCTTTCTGAAAGCAACAGTGGGATGAACATAGCTTGTCCAATATGATTAGTTTTAAAGGGACAATACTTAGGGGTATGGAACAAGTGTAGAGTACATGCCTAGGGAAGGTGAGGCTCTGAGTTCAAACCCAAGTCCTACCAAAAGAACTTAAAAGTAAAAGACAATATTTGATAGTTGATTTGGTTGTATAATTTCTGCAATGATGGTTCCAGAAGGAGTTATATTACTTTAAAGTCATCCCTTATAAAGTCATATCTTCATTTATCTCATTAGATTTTCAACTGGAAATCAGGATCATATTGTAATCATTCTGAAAGGCTGTGTGTTGCTCTGAATTAAACACAAGCTCTAATACTTTCCAAGTTTGTTCCATCTGTAATTGCCATTAGAAACTTCAGACACGTGTCCTTGAATTTGATACCTGCCAAAAGAGACCAATGATCTTTGACCAATCACCTTTCTCTAAGTGATTTACACGCAACAGTATTCACAATACTCAACAGTATTCCTTCTGCCTTAGTTTACTGTTGTACACACATGAACAAATCAAGCAGAGTCAAGATGCCTGTATCTTTTTCATTCAGAGGTATGTCTTGTTTTTAAGTTTCCGTAGCAATTGTGTTAATATTATCTGTAACTATAAGGTTTAGTAAAAGTTTATGCTTAAATTTGTAGTTCTAAACAATATTAATATAGACAAGTGAGTGGGTTAAAGTGTTAGTTTTTATTCCAATTAAAAGCTATTCACTGACATGACTTCTTTTGCATAGTCTACAAGACTGTCCTCTGGAAAAGGAAAACTAAAGGAATGCCAATGTATTATACTGTTGCCATGTGTTAGCTCTTTGGTTGTACTACTCAAGACTGTAAAAGAAGAGACTGGATGTTGACATTTTCTTGTTTCCTGCTTCAATTATCTTTAGTAAAAACTTCTCCTCCTCCTATTAGTATACCTTCCTTTTTTCAATCATTGTCTTTGAAAAGATAAGTTTCTTTCCCATTTTCCACAAGGAAGATTTACACATCCTGGTATTCCCACATGATCCCCTTCCCCCAAAGCCCCTCATGCATGTTCAATAACTATTTCTTGAATTACAGTTAAGCCATTTCTCATTATGCTTGTAAGTGATCAATTCTAGCTAAGTATATTTTTTACCTTTCTATTATTATTATTATTACCATTGTAAAGGTGATGTACAGAGGGGTTACAGTTATATAAGTCAGGTAATGAGTAAATTTCTTTTTGATTCCTTAGAATCTTGTTATCTCACATGAGAATTATGATGGTAACTTTTAGGTGTTACAGATAGGCAATGCAAATGGAATGATAAAAATCTGCATGTTAAATATAAGTGTACTTTTTAACATGGATAATAAAAAAGACCAGCCCTCAAAAGAACAAGAACATTTCAAAATGACAGAGTAGGCCTTAATATACAGAATATTTTCCAAAGTAATGCTGTTTTTGGTTTGTTTGATTTTTTTGAGACAGTACTGGGGCTTGAGCTCATGGCCTTGGGCTATTGCTTGGCTTCTTCCTTCAAGGTTGGCACTCTACCACTTGAACCACATCTTTGTTATTGGCTCTTTTGCTGGTTAGTCAGAGATACGCGTTTTACAACTTTTCTGCTTGGGCTGACTTTGACCTAGATCTTCAAATCATATCTTCCTCAGTAGCTAGGATTCATTCATTCATTTCATTCCATTTCCACTAACATAGTAACGACTTTCTAATTACAGATATATAATATTTCTTCACGAGTATCTTATTTTCTTGTCAATGGTTATGTCTAGAGTCTACCTTTTTGATGTGAAGCAGTTTCAAATTAAATCACACAGTGGATTTTCATTTTCTTACTTTAACATGACACACAGATTCCTAGTTCTAATGTGTTTGCCAAGAAAATACTTAACTCTCTATGTGGGCTGTTTGAAGCACCCCAGTACATCTGATTCTTAAATGGTGTCCATAGTTTAAGTTCTTTGGAATGCATTTGAAGTACGTGCTTTGTGTTTAAAAATAAAACTATAAAACTTTTTGTATCTCAAGTCTCTGACTCCAAATTATTTGTTTGCCTTTAATATCAGAAGAAATAAGAAATTTCAAGTTGGCTATTAACACATATAATTGTGGCCTCCCATCTCTCCTTTTTCTGTAAATGGAAGGAATGTTGTAAGTGTTCCTATTTTATAACATAAGAGGTGACCAGATATTTATAACTCTCTCTACTCCTCCAGTTGGATTCTTCTAAACCTCAGTCCTGGCCAGCAGATTTCCCCCAGACGATTTTCATTTTCATAACGTTCACATCCAATAAACTGCACCAAACATGGTGTGAGAGAAGAGGGGGACAGGAAATGGCTCTGCTGCATGGTTATTACATCCTATTGCCTGTGGGTTGCTTGTTATGAGTTTTAACTATGTAAATATGACGTATATGACATCAGAATTCAATCGTAATGCTTCTATGTGGGAGATAGAGTGTAACTTTATTGTTTGGCCTAAAATCAACTGGGTGTTGACAGGTTTCAAAAGTCACTAAGTAAAAGCTTAAGAAGCAAAAGCTCAGACTGATAAGCTGTTCTTTGATTGACAACGTCAGGCCTGGCTGCCACTATTGAAAACAGTTGGATAAAAATTTATTGGGAGGAAGAAAAGTGTTATTTCATAGAAAGCTAGACTGGAAATGCAGGAAGATTTACAACCTGATGTAGCACAAAACTCAAAATAAAACAAGTGCGAGGTTTAGAAAATCTGGAAACTGGGAGAAAAGATACTGTCTGTGAGTGATTTAATTAGTATTGTGCAAGGATTTTATCCAAAGAATGCTGACTAAAGTAGAAAGAGAAAATACCTTTGCCATCTAGCTTTGGGTTTCCACAAATCATTTGTCAACAGCTTGTGGTGAAACAATCTAGTCAAAAATGGGTAGGAGGAAAGAACAAAATGCAACAGTAAAACATTATAATGGGAAGTCAATGTAGGAGGAAAAAGAATCTGGTCCTTTTCCATCTTTCTAGTAAAGTAGAACCAATTCTGGCACATAAAATCCATTACAGGAACAATAAAATAAATGCATTATGAAGTAGCCATCATTGGTTGATTGAAATGTTATGATTTTCATGCATGCCATATCTTATCAAATATTCATTAGGAAGTATTCAATTCCTGTTGTTCCAATTATCCTGCTATGTGCGTCATAAACTTTTATGGCTTGTTATGGAATGTCACTTGGTTATTTCTCCCTTCAAATATTGCATCATCAGAGTCAGATGGAAAACATATTCTAATGTGGCAAAGTGTTAAAGAAATTTAATACCCCAGGGCTAAATGAAACTGCTATGGTTCATCTCCTGGATAAGAACAACAATTTATGAAGGCAATATTCATTTCCTGAGGTGAACATAAGCGAAACCTTCTCTGAAACTTAAAACCTAGATGTTTGGCCTCTAGTAGTTTCCTTAGGTAACTCATTGATGTCATATATTAAGGCCAATGATATGATCACATCTGGGGAGTGCTCACTTTTTCAACTTCCCTAATTACTTTTACAGGGAACTCCAGGTATAAATGCATCAGCCAGGAGTAGTCCACATCGTCTATGGGATCATCTTTTACTTCTAATACATTATCAAGAATGTTAAGATAATCTATTGATTTTTCTTGACCATGAAAGTTGATCAATAGGTTTGCATTTTAATTCACAGAGATTCCACCGAGAGGTAGGCTCTAGAACAGTGTGTATGGAATTATAAATTTAGCATCCGTTTGTCTGTCAGACCAAGGAATTCAGAGATATTTCCACAGGCATCTTGGTGGGAAAAGAAAAAGGGAATTGTTGCCAAGTACTATAACTTTTCTCCTTCCAGATGTAAACATCTGTGTTCTAAATTTTATTATATTGAATTAAATAAATTGAATTTACAGAGAAACCAGGGAGTAGTGAGGACAAAACACAAGAATCAATTCCTGTAGGATGCTGGTGGCTCATGCTTGTAATCCTAGCTACTCAGGAGGCTGAGATTTGAGGATTGCTGTTCAAAGCCAGTCTGGGCAGAAAAGTCTATGAGACTCTTGTCTCCAATAAACTACTCAGAAAAAAAAAGCTGGAAGTGGTGCTGTGGCTCAAGTGGTAGAGCCCTAGCCTTGAGCACAAAGAGACTCAGGGACAGTATCCAGCCCTGATTTCAAACCCTAAGAATAGAGAAAAATAAGACAAGCAAATAAACAAAAAACCCACAAGAGGTGTTTACTGTACTGTTTGCTGTTCTTTCCCCTGCCACCTCTTGTTTATTACCTTTTATCATTGTTTTTGATTTCTGTACCCTTTGTCTTTATATAAGCTTATCTGATTTTGGGAGTGGAAAAGAAAGCACAGAAATAGTGGGACAAAGGGTGAACCAATTCAGCAGTGATACTCCCTAGACACTGTGTTGAAAATGAACTATACATCTTGGGGTGGGGGAGGGGAAAACCTGGGAGAAAATGAGGGAAGGGATGTCACTGTTCAAAACCCCATGGTATAACTCCTGTTTACACTGTATTTGATGTTGGTATAATTTGTGGAGGGGAAGGACAAAAACAAATTCTTTAAATAGGGATACAGGTGGACCCATTGCAATAATGAGATGTACAAGATGTTATGTCCAAAAATGAACTTTACAACTTTGGTGTGTGTGGGGGGGGGGTGGTGGGAAGGGATGGGAAGGGGAAACAAAGGAGGAGG